ATCAAAGGAAAATATTGTTCACCCCATTTGTATTGATGTATTTATGCAGGTGCCTGGGGGCCCCTTAAAAAATGTTAATACAAATACAATGAGTGTATACAATGTAGTTTGCCCTTAACACCACAAATTATACACTTTTAAAGAAAAGGGTAGAGAAGTTGATAATAGATTAATAACAGTAGAATAACAATAGCAATAATATTTATATTTGCATGCTCCAGAAACAGTCCTTCAGACTATTAGCAAACAAGGCAAATTATAATACACACCAGCTTGAATATATGCGAGAAAGTGTAATACTTATTATGAAAAAATGTAACAGCAATTATTCGTTCAAAATACATGGCTGATTCCTTCATCATGGGAATCCGCCTATAGAATGAAAGTAAAGTGCACCTTAACAGGGATAATTAAATATTTACTGTACATTGATAAAGTCGGGTTTGTCAAATGTATGTTTCGATGAGTGGCAGCTGAAGCCTCGTTCAACGCGAATGTATCCTTATTAACGCTTGGTACATCTCCATCCCAACGACCAACATTCATGACAAATTTATTAAACAAACTATTGTGGTATCTTTACATGTTAACTGCCAAAGCATAATCAGAGAAACAGGTGTGATAGAAAGATGAGCATCGTATTGTACGCAGAAATATGGCTAAGAACACCATAGCTCGGCCTGTTAAAAGTGTGATTGAACTTCGTGGTATATAAGAAAGCACGGTCGTCGTGTCGCCTCTGTGTATGCCAATTTATATGAAAGTGCAAGTACATCCATAAAGCGCGCGCGCGCGCACGCACGCACACACACACACACACACACACACACACACACACACACACACACACACACACACACACACACACACACACACACACCCACACACATATATATTTATATATATACACAGTGAAATCTCCGTAGAGCGAACCCCACATTAACCAGCTTTTAAAAAAAGCCATATTGACTGCTAATAGTTTCAATGTAAAATTATTTCACTACTACGTACTTCAGAAAACTGAACTTTTCAGAAAACGAGCATTAATTTAGTTCCGCATTATATTAACAACGCCTCAGTATTATGAATTTATGTTCTGAAATCTGTCGCGACCACCGGAGCGGTACACAAGGAGACGACAAAGCGAACGGATGCCTTGCTTCTCGGAAGACGCGCGACGGTGTGGAGGAAAAAAAAAACAAAAGGACGACTTTTTTTCTTTCTTTTTGTTGAAACGCCAACGTTGCAAGTTTACGAGCAAGTGCAGAGGCGAGGGCAACACGGGAGGGTAAGGTCAGCGAGGCAGAGTGGGAGTTGCAGAGCAGGAAGCATGGGCACGGAAAACCTGAGACAGCGAGAGAGCAGAAAACGAAATGCGAGGAATTTTCTTTTTTAGCACTTTTTTTTTCTTTCGAAAGAGGCGCTGACAGCCGTGACGCTTCGGATTTTTCTTTGGAGGCCTCGTTTTTTTAATCGTGTTCATCTCTTTTCGGCGATTACTTATTGCGTCTGCAAGGCAAGTCGGCGCTCGTGCTGCGGTGATACTACAAATTAGTTAATCTCTGCTGGTGATAAAGAAGCAGAAGCAGTTTTTGCTAAGCTAGACAATGGATATTCTTCGGCAACTTGAAGGCAAAAAGCAGGCTGTTGTGACCAAAAAACCGAATCGCACCACAGGAATGTGGATGAGCTGGAGGCCTTTGCGCTGCAAAATTTGTACTGCTCGCATCAAAAAAGAAAACTTCTTAAAGTAAACGTACATTTTTGGTGTTTACTTGTGCATTTTTTTTTCGTGAAAAACGAGTTCAAGAACCAATCGTTGTAAAGGTAAGTTGTTTTGGTCAGTGAACATAAGTATTTATGGTTAATTTTCGAGCTTTTACTATAACGACCTTTTGAAATAATGAACAAATTTCCGCAGTCCCCTGAAGTTCGTTATACCAAGATATCACTGTATATATAATGACGGGTGATGAGGTAGGCTTGCCTCTCCACTCACAAAAGTGTTGGTACGCCACTGAATGCCAACACCTGGCTACAGCAGTCGCACTTCTGTGCAATTGAACTGCAATAAGATTAATATGCTTAGATTAATGAGCACATTAAAGGACCCCTGACAGTGAAAGTTTTGTTTGCAAGTTGTTTACAGTAATTTGTACCTTTGCATCTGGGAATGCCAAAGTTATATATTATGTGCTTTAATGCATCATATAATTAATGCTAGCATCGTTAATTCAGAACGACTTTGCGTGAGTTTGAAACACTACCTAAATACCATAACAAACTAACACGCCACAGCAGAACATGCAGCGCCTGACACTATACGTGCACGCAAGCTTCGGTGACGCAGAAATGCGTTGTTTTCGAATAGGGGGACCTGCGGATGGTGAAGAATGAAACGATGTGGGTGCTTTGAGCCTGCCCCCCTCAGAAAAGCATTGCTGTTGTAAGCAGCAGCGTAACAACAGGGCAAGAGGGGTGACTAACAGTAGTCCTGGCTTGCCAATAGAGGTATTGTGCGCGTCCCGCAAATGTTGACCTCTGCTACTTCACATGGGGCGTCTCTGTCGACATGCAATTGCGTTCTTTATTGTGAGGTAGAAAAAACAACTCGGCCCACACCATAAACATATTACAGGCAATGTGCAACTACAGAAAATGTCTGTAGCGTAGCGATAGTGGCGGCCAGCCAGCTAGAGAAAAAGATGACCAGTGCCGTGGCTCGTGGTGCCAGGAATGTTCGTAGGCTTTTGGCTGGCTCGATTCTACGGCCGCCGCTCTACTTCAGCAGCTCGCTTTCTCCCCAAGTCGTCCTACCATCAAACGAGCGACGATAGCACGTCTTTGTCGGACGCCGTCCAGTTGCTACAATTTGGTGACCACGAACACAAGGACAAGTGACCGACGCTGCACAACTGCCACTGAGCTCTGTGGCCAAGTTTCAGCCAGCGCAAGCCTGGCAGAATTAGACCCGCCACTGCCACCATTTTGGACCTCTCGCCTAGAGTCATAGTTCAAGGAGTTTGCGGCGGCCTTGGATTGCAACGTTATCTGGATCCAAGGGTTCCCCATACGAGGTATTAGAATATCATCTTCTACATGACCTCAAACGCCGCCTCCCCTACTTCTCCTGGAGCCCTCGCCCATACGATAATCTGCGAGACGCCGTGCTCAATTTTTACGGCGTCAACCGTGATCTTTTTCCTAAGAGCGACACCGCAGCACCTGGCTCATTACCTACTAAGACACCTCCCGCACTATGGCTACTCAAGACCATTGTCCTGCCGCCTACCGGCTACACAGGTGATGGAGACTACCCTCCCACTTCGATCAAGTCGTTGACTAAGAGACCCATGACCATAGAGTTCACAGATCCTGCCTTTGATGTGCCGGTTCTGGCAACAAAGACATTGCTACTTCTCTCTGTTGCAGATTCGACACGGGCCACTGCCTCGTGCGCCATCCGATTCGCTGCAAAGACATGGTTGACTGCACTATCTACACCGGGCGATTTGACGGCCTCAGCCAAGCTGGCTGACTTGCCTGCAGACTCAACGCCTGTCCCGGCAGCTGTGGAGGCCCGCGACACCACTCACACTATGGACCCAGAGCCCGCTGTGACCCTGCACGCCATCAGTTTCCCCGGCGCACCGGTGCCTGCTGCTCAAACCCTCATGGACTGCCAGCTCAAAAACGACTTCTCCAACCTCTCACATGGCAGCCAGAATTTTGCAGACATACCTGCAAGGATTTTTTCCCGCCTTTCTGAAGAGCCACGCCAGACGCTCTGGTGCCAGCCTACAAGCAGGATACCATCCGCTATCTTGGACAGCCATTCCACTACACATCCATCGTCTTGTCACCGTCTGAAGGTGGGCTGCAGCAGTTCTATGCACAGCCCATGACTCGTAGTTCGGCCACGATGTGCATCCCGTTGTCGACAAACGCACTGTTGTCGGTCCTCAAGAAGCTGCAACGCCTGAAGCTTGGAGCAGCGTAGGTCACACCGTTCACACGACTTCCACCACCGGTGTTTCCAATGTCCTTCTCTGCCTTCCTCACTGCTCCTAACGACGCGCAATCATCGTGGTCCTCGCCCGCTGCGTAGTTCTCAGTGCTGCCCACGGGAACTATCAGACTCCTCCGTACGCTTTCCACCCTGACGACATTCGGACTTCACAGTGGACACTTTAGGAACTGCCGCACATGTACATATTCTTTATATGTTCTCCTTACATCTTTTACATTCCTTTTTATCGCGTGACGCTAGGCGAGGAGCCCTTGTAGCGTAGAGCTAGTGGCGGCCAGCCGGCAAGAGAAAAAAGATTACCAGAGCCGGTGGCTTGTGGCGCCCAGAGCATTTGTAGGCTTCTGGCTGGCTGGACGCCATGGCCGCTGCTCTATTTAGGCAGCTCGCTTCCTGTACCTCTCGTCCTTTCATTAAACCAGTGATGACGGCACGTCTATGCCTGACGCCATCCCATCGCTGCATGACGATTGCACTTGAATACTGGTAGGAGCACGCATTCTTACTTTAAAACCAAATTAAAATATCTTCTAGGGAATGCTCAGCGATCGCCAGGAATAATCGATCAAAGTGGTCCCACATGCAGGACTATGAAACAACACAAGCAACTCGACTTTCAAAATTTGGTGTCAGGGGTCCTCTTAAGAACTCAAGGTAGTTGAAGTCAATTTGAAAGGTCTCATTAAAGTGTGCCTCGTCATGTTGTTTTGGCACGTAAAACGAAAGAAATAAGATGATAGTGTAACATGTCTCGTGCGGTCTCAAACTAAAAAGTAGGTGTGAGGTACAAAAAAGTCACGTCATCTCTCGAGCATGGTTACAGCAACGTGACTTAAGTGCTCATGTCCTTTAGGAGGTGTTCATGTGACTTTTAAAAAAAGAAAAGCAGCATCAGAGAGATATAGAGTGCATAATAAAATAGTCACACTGATAGCTTTCGCTATTAAAAGTGTCTGAGTGAAGCAAATGCAGGGAGACCCTGTAAGCTTCTTATTTCCAACTTTGTATTTTTATAGAAAAGCATTGCAAATGGCTTAAATAAAAACTGCTATGTTTGAAAAAGCAAGAAACAAAAAATTTGCTTAGGTCACATTGATTTTCTGTTGCCTTTTCAAGCTACAAGATATTCTAATTATATCCTGAATGTTACTTCATGTTTAAGACAGGGAATTGTATTAAAATTGCAAACCGAAAAAAGAAAGAAAAAAAAAACGATTAACAATGATAGTGCTTTACAGAATGTTATATGACACTCACTGGTACATAGCTCTTGCCAGAAAATCCAACATGCTCATTGTTTACTACTTCAATCAGCTGCATCCATCAGTATGAATATTACTGTCACTAAGTTCGCTCATGTGAAATACTGTGAATTTATAACTTCAAGATTATACACTAAACTTGCACTGTGTAGCTTGACACTGTCTAGAACAGCAAATGATCATCGTAACGAATTTTGTGACACAGTCACTCTGCAGGTGGGTATGCTATGACTGATGTGGCCTCTGAAACCATTAACCTTGACAGAGTTTGTATGAGCAGTAACAAACTCCTGCATTGAAATTACAGTACACCACCCCTGTGGTGTACTGTAGCATAAGCAAAATATCAGCTGATACTTGATAACGTATGGCTCTGACTGATACATAGTTCTTGCCACAAAATTCAACATGCTCATTGTTAACTACTTTAATTAGCTGCATTCATCAGTATGAATAATACTGTCACTAAGTTCGCTCATTTGAAATACTGCGAATTGATAATTTCCAGATTACGCACTAAGCTTGCACTGTGAAGCTTTACAGTGTCTAGAACAGCAAATGACCATCATAACGAATTTTGTGACACTGTTACTGTGCAGACGAGTATGCTATGACTGATACGTCCTGTGAAACCATTAACCTTGACAGAGTTTGTGTGAGCAGAGACAAACTCCTGTATTAAGATTACAAAATGCAACCCCTGTTGAATTAAAAGCATAAGCTAGTACATAGACCCTGAAGTTATTACGGTGCTGGCTTGCGTGCCCTGCCACAACATGTAGCCTTAAGCGTCAGCACACAGCACCATACAAGGCGGAGATTGCTTGCTCAGTGAAACAGTGCTATCTTTGGTACCCTGCTTTTCGGTTGGCATAATGCTCTGCTTTAGCCCTGCACTCCTTTCACGAAGCTGGACATACTTAAGAGTGCAGACAGCATGAAAACTATGGTAGAGGTGGTGCATGTGGGCAAACATCAACCAGACAAGAGGCAAGGCTGAGTGCTTATGTGTGGCCGAGGGAAGTAGAATGCGTGGTCATTGGTGCCAGCACTGGGTGCATATGTGCCATGCTTGTGATCAGTGATTGTAATTTATTTTTCTTGCTTATTCTCTGAAAACAGATTACTTTTGCTCATGTATAACCACTAGTTCTCAATTTGCTTTTTATGCTGGCAGAAAATGAGAAAACCAGCCAATACAGCAAAATAGTGCATATGTAAACAAAGAACAATAAAAACAGCATGACAATGCAATTTTACAACCGTCATAACAACGCTTCAATTCAAAAATTAGATACAAGATAATAATTTAGTCAGTAAATGCTACATAATAAAGTACATGTCCGTGACAATGGTGAGAGACCGTAATGCAGCAAGCACAGCCGCTATCGGTAGATGGCCCGATGTGCATCTTTTTTGCTGTTGTACCTGGTACAACATATGGCGTCAAGATTTGCATCATGTTTTCTAGATAAAATGTGTAGACATTGTGCTGCCACACGTAAATGTGCATGCAAGTCATCAAAACATCAACAACCAACCATAGCAACATGGGTGAAATCAGGTAAATTATGAGAGCATGTGCGAACACTTGGCCATCTGACCTAAGGCAAAGAAGGAATGAAGACACAGTGAGAGGCAAAGATGACCAGCAGACAAGTCCTAAGTACTGACACACCTCTTTTGTACATATGGCCCCTGAGCAGCAGCTGCACAGGATGGTCTGCAATCTGATAAACAACAGGATTCACTGAATGTTGCACACATTAGCTAAATCATTCACTGCAAAACTTCAGGAAGAGGTGAGCCCATATAGGTAGTAAGTTTTATGAATGAAATAAATTATACGTACATGCCAGGCAAAAAACTTACAGATTATAACATTATTTTTAGGAAGTCATTTCAGCATAGACTGCCATTGCACAATCTTGTGTGGAATACGAACACTAATGAGTCAGAAGAAATCCTGCAACGCTTGATGTTGCAAGCTATCATGACATGCTGAAAGCCATCCTAAGAATAAGTTTTAGAATATGCTCATGCCAAGGAACACTAAAAAGGTTATAGGTTCTTCAAAAACCATTTCCTTCTTCTGCAGTCCTATAACAAGGCTCTGACCACAGGAAGTTGTTCGAAATGCATAAGGACATAGAAGCATAATTGACATTAGGCATACGCTTGTGGTCAGAAAATCACAATCTCTCAAAATAGAATTGTATCAGAATGAAAATTTGTACTACGGCTCTAAAGAAAAGTATGCATTGGCAAAAAAAAAATGAAACACTCATCAACTCCTCCAGCAATATTTGTGAGTGTTGACTCAAAATCACGCTGAAAGGCAATTATTTTAAGGTAATGTGAAAATGGACTTCTATAGCTTCTTAATATGAGCTTTACAACACTCAGTGCACACTTGCTAAGTCCTGGAACATTTTGCAGCAAAGCGATAGTCACCCATCTTTCAACTTGGTTTCACAATGTTTAAAAAGCAATACAGTGAGAGTGAAGTGTCACACAGCCCCGCCAATTGAAATGCTGTTCTAAGAACAGCAAGAACAGACGTTCAATGTTTACTTCATTACGCACTCAAGGGTGTGTCACTACACCCCGAAAGCAATCAAGTGACAGAGTTGTACTATACTGTGTAGCTGCTGCTTTGGGGCATATTGCACGTGAGGCTATGCGACATGAAAGATTTTCGCCCTAACTGTTTACAGCAGCAAAAAACTCAGGTAAACTCTTTAAGCATCCCAAAAAGCACACTGGGACTATACCTTCTGTTTTGAGCTGTTTTGTTGTGCTCGAGGCTGTCATGAGGGCTCACCCGCCTGGTCACCTGACCCTTCGAGTGCTAAAACGGTGGTCACCATGGCTGGTGGTGAGGAGAGGGTGGGAATCCCATTGAGGCACCGGTGTGCGGAAATCTCCAGCTGGAGGCTAGAGGGCAGTGCTTTGGCGTCGCAGGTCGCTCGGCTCAGCAATGGCAAACAGGTTGGGGTTCTGGCTGAGGGAGCTGTCCAGCTCGCTGCACTTGCGCTCATACTCCTGGTTGCACTTGTGCGCAGCCTGCACACAGAAAGGCCGATTCGACATTTGTGCATGCATGCTACCCAAAGGGCAGCAGCAAATTCTAACTGAGTGAGGATACTCAAACCCATTTCAGTGAAGGGCAGCGCTTATACTGCACCACAAAACGACCACAAATATCATAATGCATTTAACTACACCAAAACCTGACAGAAACAAGAAAGTGCCATTGCAGTTTCATGTTTTAAATCTGTACTGAAGAAATCCTGCTCTCATTTAGTTGTGTAAACTGAGAAAGGCAGGCTTTCCACGGGACTTATTGGTAAAGATCTGCCAGAATTTGATTAAGAAAATTAGAAAAGGTCCTGGTGATGATTGTAACTGGCGCAGCATAAGAAATTTGCTGTTCTTCTTTATGTTCACGATTTTACTGACTGCCTGAAAAAGGTTGCATCAAGATATGACGTCCAAGTAGTTATTTCTGCTAGAAACAAGTTATCCCCTTTAGGTGCCAAAGTAGACAGACGAGTCGCAAATAAGCAAAATGTCCAGGAAGATACATGCAATGTTAGTCACTATCCCTTTCCGACCCAAATTTTTTCTAGGGCAGAACAAATTTTTTTTAGCTAAGAGTCTCTTGAAAAGCACGAAAAAAATAAATAAAAGAGACTGTAAGTACGATGGTTTTCACAGGAGAACCATGTCCAGTATACTGGATGCTGGGGTTCATTTGTTGCACATACGGGTACACACACTTAGCTATCTTCCTTGAAAGAGTGCTGTTTTTGGCCCTGTTAGAAAGTTCTTCATTAAAAAAAAAACACGAGCAAGGTTCGTTTTGGCCTGTTTGACCCAAAAAATAGTTTCTCATGCTTAGCTGTTTCACTTAGCGTTCAGAGTCACAAAGAAAAAAAAAATATCTAGAACGAAGTGTCCACGGGTCAACTTCATCAAACACCGCTCCCTCCTCATGCTTCATGCTTTTGCTAGACTCCCAAAATGCCCCAGTCTCTTTTTTCAACGCCTGGGCTCCAAGACTCGTCAAATGCCTCTTGTTTTATTTTTCCCCTCTATGTTTAGCACGATGTGCACCAATCGCATCCTGGTGTCCAGTGTAGTGGACATAAAGACATTCTTGCATTGCCAGCAAACTTTTGATTACAAAAGCTACCTTTTTAAAACAATGTTTCCAGAAGACATAAGACAGCTTGCACGATTTAAATCAATTGAATTGCAAGAAGATAGCTTCTAAAATTTTTTTATATGCTTGACCATATCATTTCCATGTATATGACGCCATTACTGTGAGGTGCCTACATAAAAAGATAGGGCTCGAGGATGAACTACATTTAAAAACATATTGCTCGAATCTTGAAAATGTTACCAAAGTGGTTTGGGTTCCAATTGTAGCTCTGCCTACATTTATTTCTGCATCGCATTTTTTGTCATGTCCAGTACACCGGTTGCTAGGTCAGAAAGGGATATGTATTCATAATTATTTATACTGCATCACTGGTGTTGTCTACTCTATACTCTTGTCATGCGGACATATAAACGTGGGTCGAACAGGTCGTTGTCTAAATGTTAAACTTTGAGAACATTTCAATTCTCTGAAAGGCCACTCCTGCTTTCATCTAGCAGCCCACTGTAAGAAATGCGGCTGTGCTCCGCTCTTCCCCACAGTGTTCTCTCTGCGGCCATACATGTTAATCTTTATCTTGGTTTTTTGTGACGGGTGTGCTATGCTTGCAGTGGCCCAGGTTTTTGGTGATTTGGTCTCTCGTGCCTTTTTTTCTTTCCCCTTCGCTTCCTCTTAATTTGTATTCTGTCTAATAAATACAGACTTGTTCCTTGCGCCCTTACATACATTATGGGTCATTACTGACTAGCCCAACTCACCATTCCTCTGATCATAATTATGATGGCAGCTCCTGTGTAGCTGCAGATTTATTCACACTGGCAGTGATGCAGTAGCTACTATGCTGAACAGTAATTCTCTTTGACCATGCTTCTTTTATTATAGTACCCAACACAATGGCTTGTGCAGTATATGCCAGCTTCAACAAATGCCAACTTGAATGGTCTGCGTGAGGTCGGTGATGATCACACATATCATCTAGTACAAATCGTAGTTTCATAATGAGAATGTCTCATGTGCAATTAAGGACTCTAAAGTTACGGGCTCATTTTCTTTGCTAGACACATTAATAATGACAACTAACCAAGAATAATGCCAAGGAATGTATCAGGGATGTCGTTACATGTGATTTTAATGTAAATGTGAAGAAAGAAAATAGAACGAAAGGATTATTTTTCACCTGCCAGGGTCTGAACCTGCGCCCTTCGAATAACACATCTTATGCTCTATCACTGTGTTACAGTGGCAGTTATGCCTACATGCCCTCTATTCGCAACTCCCGAAAACGCTCCATGTGCTAGCAACGCTGGTAAAAAAAAACAAGTATGGCTGTGCCGAACAGGGTCAACGCGGCACTTTCGCATGGCGCTGTGCTGAAGTTGCTTGATTGCAATGTTGGATCGCGTTGCTTCATAAGATAGCTGACTGCTGACTGCCTCAGTTTCATCGGCATAAAGGATTTTACTCACCAAACAATGTGAACAGTGGCATTGTGCGTGCAACGTTGAGCCTCTTTGATGAATTGCATCAGATTTACTTCAAGTTTAAAAACCTGTCTAGTGAGCCCGAGAATGAAGAAAAGAACTGCTCATGTGTAGCAGGTCCACTCTGAAGGGTGCTAGTGCTTTTACGCTGTGTTGCTACACTGCTACAGGCAAGGCCTTAACAGTTTTCAAGGTAACTACTCGCTGCATGCGACTTCTGCAGCCGATTGCATGTGCCCTATTGAGTTCCATAGTCCCATCGAATGCTGAATATGCATGTCATTCACTTGATTACAGGACAGAGCTATGCCTGGGCCAGAGTACCTTGAGATAAGGCAAATGATAGTTTCGATTGTAATAGGAGTGCTCCTTTCTTTTCATTCATGATCCATGTTATAAGCTGTCTAATGAATAAGGTTGTGTGCTTCCTGAACACTCGCTTGTTCATGTTGGCAGCAGTTGATATTCAAAGCAGATATGTGCACACACACACCACGAATGCACGGACATTATACATATATTAAAGCATCTCAATTCAACACAAACTGATGCCTTGATAACCTTATTAATGGAACACAAAACTTGCTTATGACGTCGGTCTGGGTCAAACAACAGTGGCCACTCATCATATTCACACAGATGCTGACTATATACGCATCAACATGCATACAAGCACGCTACGCGCGTGCGACCCTCGCACGCGCGTTTGCGTGCGTGTATTTGCACACATTCGAAATCAAAAATGTTCGAAGGGAAGGAATACAGCAGCATAATTTGAGAACAGATAGCACTACAACTTGCGCAGAAACCAACCATATGCGAAAAATACACTCACACACATAACGCCATAAATTTTCTAAAGCCCTTGCTTATACAAATCAAACTAAACTCCGCAGCTTAGAGAAGCTCGAATATTCAGAAAAATGCGCACATGCTAAATAATTGTGTACTCACTAAGGACAGTTAGGTCGTCATGAGCAAATTGATTAGAACAAACTATCGTGGTGCCCACCACCCTCTTTTCAACAAAATTTCTAATTTTTGCCGTTCGCCATCGCACGTCGTCTGCATTTTTCGGAAAGTGATACAACAATACGTTGCCATTTTTTGCGGCACATTGCCACAAATTGCGCCACACTACGATAACCCTTGAACATCGCTTTCTTCTTTTTCGATGCGCGTGCGGCATGACAAAAATTAAAAATTACGCGGCCGCTTCTCTGCGCGCGCAACAAGGTAACATATATCTCCTTTCAAGTTGACCCTGTTAGTGCCATTTCCAGGTGCAGCCACAAGGTAGCAAGCGTTTAGTTGGAATCATGAATAGGGTATATACCGTATTTACTCGCATAATCGGCGCACTCGCATAATAGGCGCACCCCTAGTTTGGTCGCGGAAAATTCGATTTTTTTAAATTCCGCGCATAATAGGCGCACCCCGAACTTGGCCGTGATCAGAAACGATTCTACCCCCCAGCGGTACAGTTGGAAAAGCGGTCCCCGTACCCTGAAGAAAAAAAGAAGGCAAATCGACGAGCAAATAAAAAAAATTCGAAGTGCAACGACCTAACCAATGTGTTTGTCGAAATAAAACTTGAAAAAAAAAGCGTCCATGAGCGAAAAAAAAAAACGGCTGTTCCATCAATTACTGATACCCCCCAAATCGCCGCGCTTTTTGGAGGTCACGTGTACAACGCCGGGGGCTCGATCGCCATCACCACCATCAGAGAAAAAGAAAGAAACGCCATTTTGCAAGCGGTGTGCGTATGTTGTGGTCGTGTATTGAACTTTGGTTCCACCATGGGGAAGGCGATCTCCAACGAAGTCGTCAGGAAAAGCTTCAAGAAGACGGGTATCTCGAACGCACTGGATGCGAGTGAGGATGACATGTTGTGGGGTGCGAATGATTCGGACACCGAAAACGAATCCCCGCTCGGCGAGGATGAATGTGTGATCTACGACTCGCACTCCGAATAGGGAAAAGGAGGAACAGCTACGACTTTTGTGTAAATAAATTTTACGTGTGTGTGTGCAGTTGACGGCTCTCGCTTGTTCATTAAAAGGTACGTAGGTATGTTTGTTTTATGCTGAATGAATTGGTAAACGATAAAGTCGCCTTTTACTTGACAAGTGTGCAGATTTAAAGCGCGAGAACCGAGATGAAAAAATTTTCGAAAATTTTACCCCGCGTAATTAGCGCACCCCTAACTTCAAGCCGGATTTTCTGAAAAAAAAAAAGTGCGCTATTATGCGAGTAAATATGGTATGTGCGTTTAAACGCAGGAGCACCAGTCAGTGCCACATGTTGCCTTACAGCAAGTGAACACTTTTTTTTTTGCATATTTTGGCCCCACGTAGTATACTTGATCTTATTGCGAGATGGAAGCTGACCAATAATCCCTCGCATGCCACCTCAAC